GTAACACTAAAACCAACACTACAATATAATCACAAAACATTCCTGTACAGTAAATTAAAATGATTAAACTTTGAAAGGTGATGTAGAGGGGTGTTGATGACTTGTTGGAAACCACCTGACATGACATTTTTCCCACTCTCGTGAAAAGCAAACACTTCTCCCGTCTTTCTCCTCTTCAGGCAAAGTCATAGGCAAAAATGGGAAAGTGATCCAGGAGATTGTGGACAAGTCCGGTGTGGTGCGGGTTCGAATCGAAGGAGATAATGACAAGAAACTGCCCCGAGAGGAGGTAGGCAGGGAAACCACTGACGGGGCTGAAGAGGTGAATGAATTGTGTTAGCTAACGCCCTGCTCTTGTGGTTCCTGCTGTAAACCTTCTGTTGTAAACATGGTACCTTCACAGTTTAAAAACTAAAGTTCATTTTACACTTACACTTACAAAGGGTTCCCTGGTAGATGTTTCTAATTAGGTTAGACTTTTTTTCTTGAATAGTAGTGCTGTGTCACAGCCTTTAATTAGGTTACTATTCAAAAATGTGTCCTTTACAAGTTCTAGGTAGTTCAACCAAATTCACAGCAGGAAACAGCTATTGAGTTACCCCCCTAGACTTAAAGTTTTACTTATTTACTCCTGCTGTGAGGACCTCTTTCATCTTTTTGGGGGTGGGGGGGCAAAAACTTTTTTTAATCTTATCTGTGGCCTGTTAGCTGCTCAACAAAGAGCTTCTCATAATAAAAACTCTGCTGGGTTGCACCTTAAAGCATTTGGTTTGGGCTGATGGAGATTTGTATCGCTGGCCTGCAGTTTGCAGCACAGGCACACACTTCCTGGCTGAAACAGAGCTCTAGTTTTCCCATCAGCTATGGCTTTCATCCGCTTTTTCCAGAAACATCCCTAGAGGAGCCTTTGAGAAAGGCAAGAGGCACTTTTCACAGCACTAAGTAGCAGTAAACTTTCAGAATATGACGTTAAGATGGTCTCTTAGAGAATGGAAATAAGACATTGTATAATAAGGTATCCTTCAGACTTGAACCCTTTCTAAGATCTGTTTATCATTCTTTAGGGTTAAGGGTGATGAAAGAGAGGATTATAAACTGCTTATTTTTATTTTCTCTGGCCCGGTTAGTTGGCCTATGCCGGATAAATGAGACATTTAGGCCTTAGGTCTTCCTGTGAACAGTGAAAGAAGACTGTTCAGATGGGCTGACTTTGAAGCCCAGCCAGACAAGCTCTCGAGAGGCCGCAGCGATCTCCCATGGGTGCCAGATGTCATCTCCATTTTTATCTAAAAGCCACAAAACAAGGGTGTCGATTTCACGATGGAATGTATGCAGATAAATATACATTTGGAACCTGCAAAATGGCACTGCTTGTATATATGTCTAATGTACTCCATCAGATTTCCATACATCAATTTATAGATTGTGGCCTTTCTGAAGATGGAATTCCAAGCCCTGGGGCTCTGGGTTCAGTTCTGGATCTGGGATGCCATTTGTATAGAGTTTATATGTGTTCACATGCTCTTGTTTCCTCCCACAGTCCGAAGACATGCTCTTAGGTTAATGGGCTTAAATGGGTCCCGGTGCAATAGTGTGCTTGTCTGTGGTGGACTGGTGTCCTGTGCAAGGTGTACCCGGTCTTGCACCCGCTGCTTGCTAGGATAGACTCCGGCTTCCCGTGACTCTGTACTTGATCAAGCTGTTGGTAAAGCAATGGATGCGTGTTCTGGATCTGGATGTGAATCTCTTCTCCCTCTCTCTCCCTAGGGTATGGTCCCATTTGTGTTTGTGGGCACGAAGGAGAACATCAGCAATGCCCAAGCCCTGCTGGAGTACCACCTGGCTTACCTACAGGTGAGGAAGACTATGGGCCCGTCCCCTGCTGGTCTCAGATGAATAACCCCATCATGAACTTCATTTTCTACATTTACCCTTCAACCTGCAGCACCTTTAGAGAACATTTTTGCGTTACATAGAGGAAGGATGACAATGTACGGCATAAAGTCAACAGACACAGCAATCAGTATAACGAATGCCTAAAATCCACATTTTGATAAGAGGTCTAAATTTTTCCTTTCTTCAAAGTGCTGTTTAAGACTGCATTGAAAGTTAGGTCTTTGCTTCTGAGATTTGATCCTTCTGCACAGTGCTGCTGCTGGCTCCGAAGGTGTGGACACACACCCACTAGATTTAGTGGGAAGTTAAAGATGTCAGCAGTTGCTCAGCAGTAGTTTCAGGAGCTCTGAAGCAGCACGTTGCTGTGTTTATACGAGTGACGTGCATCTGTCACTGACGTCCGGTCATCTGCACGTAATTGGACCCTGGTTTGAAGTTTGTGTTCATCTGCCTCCCACTCGTTCTAAAACACAAATTTAAAAAATAATGCAAAAAATAAGTTGTAATTTGTCTTGTCACCTCCATGTCAGGCAAATACAGTACACATTTTATATGAAAATACACTATGCAAGTTCTAGCAGTGGAAATATTGTAAAGATGTAGGAGGGTTTAGAGTAAAGTTACATCTTTGTGAAATAGTTTTTTTTTTCTGAAATCTCTGAACAGTGTTTTAAATCTCCTGTCTTTTATGAAGCACACCAGGGTGTACCCTACCATCCACCTGTTGGAGGGCTTTGCATCACATTTAAGATCAGTGTCAGATTGTTCCTGAGACTGTGTTCTTGGAATGGGATTGCTTTAGATGGTTTTGTGGAATTGTGCAACTGGTCGTTTTTCTCCTCTCAGTGGATGAGAGGGGGCCCAGACTGCTGGAGGGGATGAAGTGATTAATGTGACCTCCTGTCTACCTGCCCCCTCCACCTGTTCTCCAATGTGCTGAGGAGGCCTCATTTAAACCTCGGCCCCGGAGTTTTTATAATTAGCTCCCCGCCTGCAGGCATGAATGAAGGAGTCGTGTGGATTACAGAAACACGGGCTCCTAAAAATACTCTCCCCTTCCTCTCGCAGCTGTTGGGGCGAGCAGCTGTCGCATAGCACGCAGGAGAAGTCATCCCCCCCCACCATGCATTCTGGCTCAGTTAGGCTTCCCTAAAAGTCAGGAAACCTCTGAGCGAGAGCTGTAGCACACTCCAAACACCGTTTCAACCTGGATCTGCGATCTCCCTGTTTGTTGTTCTTTATCAAGCATAATGCATGTTCTTTTTGGTGAGGGGGGGGATTTTCTTTTTAAGGGCTGCTTGTCCCATCGTCAGTTGTCACGTCTCCATTCAGATTCTGGAAGCATGTGCTAATGATACCTGCGTGTGTACTGCAGCTGATCACAGAGGGGTCACTGCAGAACCATGTCTGCATCTCACACCCCACCACAGGAAGAGCCTTATCTTGATCAGTGTTGTCTGGTTTGCTGGCTGCCAATTTGATTCAATACACCAGGGTCCTCCTTTGAGGACCCCCAGAGCGGAACATTTTGTATATTTTAATCAAATTGCATGTTCAT